GCAACATCATCACTCTTTTTGAGAAAGGAAGAAGAAATTCATCTGATTAGATTGAATCAAGTATTAAAACTACATCTAAGGGGTTGAGTAAAATAATGTATCTAAATATTTGTAAAAAGACACAAATATTTTAGAAGCTTAATTTTTTTCTAGTTTCTAGAAGTCTAATTTATAGTACCAATTCCAATCTTTCACTCTCCTCTCTTCTTCTCATTGTTTCTTCTACACAAATCTTTCTTCTTTTTTCCTGGGTAGGTTCATGAATGAGGACATACAAACTCTTGAAGTGAATCTGTGTAACCTTTTTTTCATATTTTTTAATGATTTTATTTATTTTGAGATGAGGTTTCGCTCTGTTGCCCAGACTGGAGTGCAATGGCTGCGATCTCTGCTTACTACAATCTTCACCTCCCAGGTTCAAGTGATTCTCCTGCCTCAGACTTCTGAGTAGCTGGGATTACAGGCATGTACAACCATGCCCAGCTCATTTTTGTGTTTTTAGTAGAGATGGGGGGGGCGGTTCACCATGTTGGCCAGACTGGTCTTGAACTCCTGACCCCAGATGATACTCCTGCCATGGCCTCTCAAAGTGTTGGGATTATAGGTCTGAGCCACTGCTCCTGGCCCTTTTTTTTTTTTTTTCATATTCCTCAGGTAGGAGTTCAGAAGTTATGAGCAGTCAGGAATTAAGGGAGGAGAGACTTAAATCTGGCCCAGCCTGGAACATTAGATGAATGCAGATCTCCATGAAGTAAATGCCTGTAATTGGTAACAGTGAAAGGCTCTGTTTCGTGTCTTGTCAGGAGTGTTATGGAGGTCACAGTACCTTGCATGAGAGTTGCACAGGACCTTCAGAGCCTTTACAAGAAATCTAATTGTTCTTAAGACCTAGATAATATTAGTAAGTGGGGGGCAACTGGTATACAATGCCACTTTCTCCCAGGAGGGTTCATGAAGAACTCTCTAGAAGTCTTCACATTTACAATCACACATCTGCAAGGTTTTGTTCAGAGCATGAATTAATTTATGGATATGATAAGCCAGACATGTGGAATGAAATCAGGTCACAGTTACTCAAAGCAGTCCTCACAGTCTTACTAATTTTACTGAAGGGTACTTTCCCCAGAAGCTCACTACTGCTCATAGCCTCAGGAAGCAGGTAAGTTCTGGTTAAAAAATTGTTGGACATCTTTCCTCACTGAAAGTACACACTGCCCAGGTTTGAATATGAAAAACCAGTTTATATAATAATCAAAGAAAAACTTGCAATATCTGACAAAGGTACTGCATAGGTGTCATGGTGCATATTTAAATGGAAAAATGACTTAATTCAGAGAAATCACCAGGATTCCCAGAATTCCAAAACACAAGAGTAAGTCTCTAATTCTAAATAGACTTTTGGTACACTGAAAAATATCCTGGAAAATATGGATCTGGGAAGTAAATATCATCATAGTTTAGAAATAACTTTTTGTCCATTATTTGCTTATTTGAAAAGAAACTACTTTGACTATTGTAAAATGTATCAGGATCATATCTAATTACAGATAGATAATGCAATGCTGGTATTCTCTTGCTTTCATTTTTTTTAAATAAATGAAAATAGTAACTAAATGAATCATTTTTGAGGGGAGATTTTCTAGGAAAGCATGCAGCCTAGAACTCATGTTAGTACAATCCGTGTCTTAATTATATGTGAGTCAGTAAACCTTTATGAAAATAATAGCAGTTTATGGCAAATTGTTATTCAGAAAATATGCATGCTCACATAAAAAGTTAAACTGAATTTTGTCCAAATTTCATAAAATTAAAGGGTATAAATGGACAAACACAGAGAAAGCTTTTAGAATGAGCTATTTTTTCCTAATAATTTCTGTAAGGCAGTCTGAATGTTAAGAATAACCAAAAAGATTAGGCTAGAAGCATTTAAATACATGAAAAATAAGTTTTCTGTAGAGCCTCTTAACATCAAAACAAAATTAGTAGATACTTCCTTAAAGACATTTAAAAACATTTAAGATGACTTTAATAAAGTTATTTAATTTTTAAAAAGTCCATAATGTAAAAAATGCTGTGTCATCAATTATACCCTATGGTCACAAAGGTAATCTAGTATGTTAAATTCTGCTTCATTTTATACCTTGACTTCAGCTCTTTACTTCAAGAAAAGGTCATTCTCCTCAATCATTGACAAAAATATTATTTTTAATCTGGCCATGTTGATTTATTTTCAACATGTCTCTATATGGTTAAGTCTCTACATGGTAAGAGAATGAATGAAAATATGTCTTCTCCACATTAAAAAATCAATATGGGAAAAGACATCAAAAACACACACAAAATGAAAATACACTTCTATCATAGGTGAATAGAGGATGATACTATAATACATCAAGACTCTAAGCAACCAATAAGCAACTCAACGGAAAAATAGGCAATTCACCATAACTGAAACACAAACGGACAATTATATGAAAAGACTTTATTCTCTCCAGTAAGAAATATATAGTTAGGCACAGATTTTTTAAATATGTTTTAAATTAGCAAGGAGGAAAGCCTTTTAAAATATTGACAACATCTGTTGTTGAGAAGAGTATAAGGAAATGGAAACTATCATACACTTTTGTCCATAGAGTTAAAAATTTAAACTTTTATACCTTTTTGAAGAACTATTTTTTTAGAAAAGCAGTATAACCCATTTGAATTCTAAGAATGTTACCTACTAACACATTCAATAAATATTTACTTTTAATTTTATTATTTTTTTGAGACAGAGTCTTGCTCTATTGCCCAGGCTGGAGTTCAAGTGGCATGAACTTGGCTCACTGCAACTTCTGCCTCCTGGCTTAAAGCAATTCTCATGCCTCAGCCTTCTGAGTAGCCAGGATTACAGGTGCATGCTGCCATGCCTGGCTAATTTTTGTATATATTTTTTTTTTCCAGTAGAGGCAGGATTTTGCCATCTTGGCCGAGCTGGTCTCGAACTCCTGGCCTCAAGTGATCTGCCCACCTCAGTCTCCTAAAGTGCCAGGATTACAGGCGTGAGCCACCAAGTCTGACCAAAAAAATGTTAACACAGAATCTACCAATACTTATACAAGTACTTCAAAAATACATAGAGATGCTTGTTTTTTGCATTATTTCAAATTTAAAATGGAAACAGGAGGAGAGATTGATTACATAAATCAATATATTTCATTGTAACATAATAGGAAGCTTATACAAAGACATTTATTATATTTACTCATTGGTATATGGTTTACCTACGCAAGCTCCATGAGGGCAGGTAATTTCTCTATTTTTGTATACTTGTGCACCTCAGGGTTACAGATCTGAAAGTGTAAACTGACCAGGACATGCGGAACATGAAGCAATCACCAGGTTTCAGAACCATTCTGCTACTTGCACAGCTGTCACTAAAACATTTCTCTGAAGAAATTTTGGTCAAATTTTATGCATCAGCTTCTTCCAAGACATTTATAAAGAGAAAAGTCTGTTATCTTTTTGACAAACTAGACGTAAACAAAGTTCAAGAAAAATAGCTCATGTCGAAAACACATCTTATTTCCATCAGGAGCTAGCCTGTGAAGGCCTGGCTGCTTTTAATTTGTACAACTTGCACAGAAAATCAGACTGCTCTTCAGTCCTCCTTTATGCAATCTGTTCCCAACTGCAATGTGGGAGAAGGAAGTGAAAAATGTTTCCCGTCCTTCTTTGGCTTCATGCCCAAAGGATTATTTGAAGGGAAAGATACTAATTCACATTTAAAATTATGTCTAGAAGGCATTTTAAATTACAAACCAAATTTACAAGACTATAAAAAATTACACTCACCTAGCTTTTACACTGGACTTATTCTAAGTAGGACATTTTTTGAATAAGAATGATTTTCCAAAAATAGGAATTTACTATTACTGAAGAAGATTTCTTCATCTTATAGCTTACGAATCAGAAATCTTGACTCATCATCTTAATTAACCCAGAAAATGTTCTGGTTGTGTTTTCAATAGCTTCCTTTGTTAGAGTTATCTTAACGAGATCATCTTAGAATGGGTACTAATAATAATATTTGAAATATATATTCTCATGAAGCAAAATAACAGTATATCAACTCTCAATTGACCAAGGTACCGAAATAAAAGACACTAAATATTCACAAGTCAACTGACCCAAACAAACTATCCCAAGAAGAGCACTGTTGTATGCTCTGCTTTAATAATCGACCTAAATACCTCTCTTCCAGGTTCATATCATTAATTGCTTCAGATACAAACAAAAAAGGCCAATTTTGGAGGTGGGCTTAATTAAAACATTTTTTGAAGGAAATTTGTGTCTTTTTTATATATAATTTCTGTCTGGATTGAGATACTGACGTTTCCATTTGTATACCATTTTTAGAAAATAATTAATAGATGGTGACAACACATAAGAATGAAAGACCCTTTCCTGAAAAGGTAAGTTCAGGAACTGTAAATAAGCAGTTACAGCCATCTTTAGGCAGTCCTTGGTTTGCTCCTTACCCTGTCAACTGAAACCCGTGCATACTGGGATGGTGTCCTCACTTGGCACGCTTCTGTGGTACTCGGGATCAGGACATGGTTCCAATATACATGAGATTCGTTTAACATAGCATCGCATAAGTGAGGGTGGATGCATTCTTCTTTATTCTCAATCTGTCTGCTCAGTTTCATTAAAACAACACTAATGTTATGAAATCCAGCAATCACAGGTCAAAATTTGACCTAACAAACCTAATTCTATTACTCTAACAACTTCATTGCTCTTTGACTTATTGGGACTATAAAAAGCTAAACATAACAGGAAAAAAGCTAGGAAAATTTGTGGGCTTGCTGTGAGCCAATGGGTTGAATTTTGAGCAAAACTCTGACCTGATTATTCTCACAAAGTCAGTACAGACAATTGCCTGATGTCAGACTAATATGCTGGTTTCAAAAAGATAGTGAAGCAAATTTCTACTGCCAGTTAGTATTAGTACCTACCTCAAAGCCAGGACTCACAGGAGACTGAAACATGAAGTTGTAAGAGCAAAAAGCAGGCAAAGGTGCAGAATCAAAGAAGAAAAAGAGAGGAAAACAATGTTATTGGATGAAAGTAAAGCACATTACTCAATAATGTTTCATATAGGCATGTTTTCAAAAAAAAAGCAAAATGTTATACTAATTAGTCTTTACAGCTACAGAGACATCTGAGTTGGAAACTATGTTTAATATCTAAATGAAACTATAGATACTAAGTAAAAATTGCAAAAACAGTTCACAGTTGTGAGTTGGTAGGTGTTTAAAAAAAGACAACTCTACTTGTCATGGTCTCAGTGATGAATGATGGTTCTTTCACCTTGTTGAAAATAAATTATAGTCAAAATGAAGCATTTCTGACCTTTAAGTGAAAGATTAGATTTTCTTCACAATAATTCATATTCTCAATGGGAAAAGAAAGAAAAAGGTCATCGAAGTAATCAAATGTTACAAAGTTGTTATCTGCCTGCAAGCAAGAATAAGCTGATGAATAATCAGTATCAGTCAGTGGTTTCTAAAGCTATAAAGTCCAATAGCAGGTTAGAGTTTTAAGGAGAAAAATATGCCTACAGTGCATATTTGCTCATTTTAGAATCTTTGTTGCATATCATTATTTTCTATCTGATTCTATTCAAGGCTGAAATATAATTCAAACGTAGAAAGGTCACTCTGAATTATTTTCTAAAGGACAAGAGGTAGTATCAATGAAAAATATGACAGACCTTAATTAAGTAGATAACACTTATCTGGTAATTTATATTGAATATGTTCTTTTTCATCTCTGTTCTCAAGTTTTCTGCGGCAGCTCTATCTGATGACTAGAAACCAAATGAAAACTACAATATAGTTCACTTCTATTCTTAACAAAAATGCGTGACTGTCTTTTGAAATGTGATTTTTTTTTTCTGTGTTGAATAAAATACCCACATTGAGAAAGGTCCTAGTATCTGTTTTTTGAATCCTCAGTCTTCATTTGCAATCTACAGCTGACCCATTCTGTCAGAAACTTTGGAGTCATGTGCATTTAGAATGAGGTTCTGCCAAGACAGTTTGGTTATCCAATAATATCTGCTACCTTTCTGGATTGACATGAAGCATGTGCAGAGCTTAAGGGCAACAATCACTCATTTGAATAGAACCAAACATGAGTTTCAGGGAAAAATTATAACCCTGTTTGTAGCTACTCTTGGCACATTTGCAGGCAGAAATGGCCAAGTCGGCTCTTTGGGAGAGGAAATCAATTTCTCAGTTTCCAAAGATATTATTCTTGCCATCTGTATATCTGATATCCAAAGTATATGTTTTTCCTCCAGTTAGTAGCCCTGAATATCTTTTTTCTGGGACATCATCACAATTCAACTTCAGCTGAGTGCTGTTCAGTTCATGGTATCTGAAGATGGTCTATGCAACATGCACTCATTTACTCATTCCTCTAAGTTATTGTTTCTCAAAGTGTATGTATTTCCCACAAGATATTAACGGGTTTTATGAGAAACTGGTTCCATGTTGGAGTGGATTTAAGAACACTAATTTCACCATTGTCAGACTTCTTAGACCATTAATTATGCTTAATAACTACTAGGATGTCCAATATTTGGATGAACCAAGAAGTATTTCCTAATCTTATTTGACCAAGATTTTTTTTTCCAGGATATTTTATGGGGCCATTACTTTGAAGAAAACTTTGAGAAACACAGAGACAGCTCTATCTTTTCATCTTGCTATCAAGTTAGAATCACCAGAAATATATAAATAAATAACCAAGGAAAGGAGAGCGACCTGTTTCATTGGTAGGTAGTTTTAAATTATACCACAGTTTTGTTTTTGTTTGGCTTTATCCTTTAAAGGAAGATCAGATAATTACAGTTTTGTATCTGTGATGAAACTACTGTAGGTGACAATATTTATTACACAAATGAATACTAGGATGTATCCTAGGATGATGTGACACATTACTTTTAATTTAGCACCCAAAGAATTTATTTCCAATTACTGAATAATGTAAATTTTATAGCCCCATTTTCTTTTAATTAACTGATAGTAATCTCATAAGTTAATCTATTAATTATTATGTGTAACATTTCATTCTCTTCTCACATGACCTGTGTTGAAGAATCTCAATGACTTTATAACTTGCTATTTGGAGATTCATTGCTATCATTTTAAAACATTTTTACTGACGTACAATTCATATGGAATAAAGTGTACCACATTCTAGGTGTATAGCTTGATGAAGTTTTGTATGTGCATAAATACATGTAATCTCTAACCAGATCAAGATATATAATATTGTCAGCATCCTAGAAAGCTCACTTCTGCTCCTTCCCTGTTGACATCCCACCTTAGTTTCATTTTGAAGTATCTTGCCATAAATTGGTTCTGCTTGATTTGGACTTCATATACTGGATTCACAAGTATGTACCCTGTATCTGACTTCTTTTTTTAAACATCATTTTGTGAGATTCAACAATGTTAGTAAATCAATAGTTCATTAATTCCATATCTGTATCATTCATATATTCCATTGTATGACTCCACCACTATTGGTTTCAATTTTTTAGCTATTATGCATAAAGATGTCAAAAACATCTTATAACATATCTTTCTGTGCATGACTCTTACATTTCTATTGAATATATACCTAGAAGTAGAACCGATGAGTCACATGATATCCATGTGTTCAGCTTTAGAAGATAACTGCCAACAAATTTTCCAAAGTTGTTTGGGCCAATATACAATCCCAGTAGTAGTGTATGCAAGTTTAGTTGCTCACTATTTTCCCCAGTATTTGTTACTGACAGGCGTTCTTTCTTTCTTTCTTTCTTTTTTTTTTTGAGATGGAGTATCACTCTTGTTACTCAGGTTGGAGTGCAATGGCGCGATCTCGGCTCACCGCAACCTCCACCTCCTGGGTTCAGGCAATTCTCCTGCCTCAACCTCCTGAGTAGCTGGGATTACAGGCACGCGCCACCATGCCCAGATAATGTTTTGTATTTTTAGTAGAGACGGGGTTTCACCATGTTGACCAGGATGGTCTCGATCTCTTGACCTCGTGATCCACCCGCCTGGGCCTCCCAAAGTGCTGGGATTACAGGCTTGAGCCACTGCGCCCAGCCGGGCGTTCTTTCAATGTCAGACATTCTGATGTAGACATAGCTCATTACAGATTTAACTTTACACTCCTTGATAACTAATGATGTTAAGCACATTTGCATGTTTTTTGTCTGTCTTGTAATGTGCTGGTTAAGTATATTGCTGTATTTTAAATGAGGTCATCTATCTTCTAACTTTTTTGTAAATGTTCTTTATGCACTCTGAATATGAGTTTTTTATATGATATATTATATTGAAAATGTCTTATCTCACTCACTGTTCTATTCTCTTAATGACATATTTTGATAAAATAATTTCTTATTTTTAAAGAAGCCCAATTTATCAATCTTTTGCCTTTGTCATCAGTGATTTAAATCCTGTTTTATAAAGCTTTTTCTACCCAGAGTTCTTGTAGATATACTTTCTATGTTACCGCCTAGAACCTTCCAATCTATTTACAATTGATTTTGTGTATGGTATAAGATAGGGTCAAGATTCTTCTTTGTCATATAGATATCCAACTGGTCGTAGAAATGTTTGTTGGAAAGACCATTCTTTTCTCATAGCAGTTTTTCCCTTGTCATAATCAGTCCATATATAGTTTCTGGACTCTATTTTATCAGCAAATTTTTCTGTCCTTGTATAATACCACATTGCCTTAATACTTTATGCTAAACTTTGTATAATGCTACCTTGTTTTTACTGTGCCTTTACAATGTTATATGTTTGGCAATTTTCCAGTTTGTTCTACATCTGGGGTTTTTAACCTCAGCCCTATTGACATTTTGTGCTGAGTACTTCTTTATCATTGGAGGCTTTCCTGTGTATTGACTTCTCTGTGATTGGTCACTCAAATCTAATTGACTTGGTTACTCTTGGGTGCCTTCAAATAGTGTTTTGTTCTGTAATGTCATATTTTATTCAGCTTTTGTCTTGTCCCTCATGCGAGAGTTGATCTGATTAAAGCTTTCCTTTATACCTAGGAACAGACATTCTAGAACAGATTATTATTATTATTTTTAATTTATTGTACTTTAGATTCTGGGGTACATGTGCAGATCATGCAAGATTGTTGCATAGGTACATTCATGGCAAGGTGGTTTGTTGCCACAATCCCCCCATCACCTACCTGCCATTTCTCCTCACGTTATTCTTCCCCCACCCTCCCTCGCACTATCCCTCCCATAGTCCCCTGCAATGGATCCCAGTGTGTGATGCTCCCCTCTTTGTGTCCAAGTGTTCTCATTGTTCAACACCCGACTTAGAACAGATTATTATATTATAATAACTTTTTGCCTAAGACTAAGTGTAAGCCTTGTATGGTGTGGGTTCAATCGGCTTTGAGTTTTTCCAAATACCACAAGAACACATGTAAATAAAATTAAAAGATGAGTAAAGAAACAAAACTACAAAGTATATTTTTAAAATTCCATATCAAGGAGAAAATACCAATAAAGCAGAAAACTGAAGTTAAACCCAAGCATACAGAAATAATAGAATCATTTAATACTGACTTCTACAATTGCCCAAAAGTCCATACAATTGATATAATTTGATAAATGTACTTAAATATAATGATACAGTGTATTAATGTGTTCCACTTAAGGATCTGCTTAAATAGTTCCTTTTAAGGAGTTTTTCTTGTTTCCTTCTAATACTGATGATTTATAAAAAGAAATCCATGCCCACAGAACTGTTATACATTGACTACAATTAGATTTTTTGAAAGATAAACTATTTTATGGATAGTATAATGGATAGTTTACTGCCAAAGTTGATGACAGATAAAATTTTTCATATGATCTATGCTGTAATATTTTTTCTATCTTAATATTTGAGAAATCTGAGATTGAATTTCTGTGCCCAAATGGATAAACAAACAGAATTACCAATGTCTTAATCTGTATCTGAAAAGGAATTTTATAGTCAAAATAGGCCATCATTTATGGAAAATATAACTTTCTTATATTTGAGAGAAAGTATACTTACCATAACAGACTTGCAAAATGGATGATTTAGTGGCATTAATGGGAAATCTTTACAAGGGTCAGACCATCATTTTTTTTTTTGTAGAATCCAAAGGTTTTACAATTATTGCCATAATATCACTTCTTAATGATAATCCATTATAAATTTTAAAGTATAATTATTGGTGTTATTGGGTTGCTACTTCATACAGGAACAAAAGCATCCTGCTTGACCCAGGCACACAGGGAGTATTATGCTTATGTCCCGTTTTAACCCAATAACACCAATAACTAGGCTTTAAAATTTATAATGGCTTCAAAAGGGACATAGGCATGATACTTCCTGTGCCTGGGTCGAGCAGAATCCTTTTGTTCCCGTATGAAGTAGCAAAGACATGAAAGGGAACAAAGGCAACAGCAAAATGTGTGTCCTCCTCAAAGTGGGACAAAGTTTCCTACTTTCTCAGGGATCAGATAAAAACAGAGACAAGTAGGCATCCCATAAGGACACAGAGGACTTCGCTGTGTTTAAAACATGATTCTGAGAACCAGTGTGTCAAACTATGTCACAAACATTACTTTCCTAAAGGCATTTCTCATTTAAAGTTTACCTGAAGGTATTTTATACAAGGTTATGAAAGCTTTGACTCCCATCCCAGTAGCTTTAAAAACTATCTTGTGGAGTCAATATTTTCTTACATAATACATATCTGATTTGATCATAATTTTACAAACTTTCCTGACACACACAGTTAAAATATAATTTTAAAAATATGTATTTATAAAATAGATTTTAAGCATTTTACAAAAAAATTTAAATTCACCATTTAATTTTAACATTTTATGTAGTGTATCAAGTAATTCAAACCACTAAGTAGTTATTTAATTTGGTTACATAAAACAATAAAATAAATTGCTTTAAAAACACAAAACTCTGTGTTAAATCATACTTACGTAAGCTTAATTATATTTATATAGAAACCATATATTTATATACATATATGCATAATTTAAAATTTTGTTTCTTAAACTTATTTTTAAATGTATTTCTTATGAACATCATGACTCAGAAACTATGCTTAAAAGCAAGAGTAACTGCTGTAACTTGTAAAATCACTAATTGTGAAAATTCAAACTCAAAGAACTTCTGACCTGGGAAGATGACATAGGATTATTTAAAAAAATAGACTTTGACTTAAGTACCTTTCAGTAAGAATATCATAATTTCAATTAATATAACTTTGTGGAATAATATATGATCACACATACACATTCTGAATAGGTACAAAGTTATAATACATTCTTCTACATTGGTAAAATTTAGTACCTGCCTTTTCCTACTAGGTACTTTTAATGATGTATTGAAAACACAAGAAACCCCTAAAAGAGAGCCCTATAAAACAGAGTATGAAATTTTCCTACTTATTAAAATGAACATTCATTTGACTTATACTCCTGGTTTACACTGTAAAAAATTTTTGATGATATAAAGATGACCACAATAAAATATTTTCCAAACAATGAACTAATTTACATAACATCTTATACTTCTTATAGATGTCTTCAGAATTTATTTCCCCTCTCCACTCCAAGAGGGATCTATTCAACCTAAATGTTTTAGTATTTTCAAAACTGTTTTCCCATTGATTTTTATAATAACAGGATTATGAAGAATTACTGTAATATCCATTGGGAGATAGAGGAAATAAATATGGGAAATTTAAATCCTTACACTGTTAGCCTATTTCAGAATGTTTTATTTTAAATAATTCATATAATGACCACAATTTTTATTCTGTTTGGAATGTCTGGAAAATCCAAATTTAACTTTCTTAAAGAAGAATATTAACCATATGCATAAGATACACACACACACACATTCTAGAGCTAATGGAAATATTTAAAATACCAAGTGCTATTTTTCTCAATGTATTTATCAATCAGTTTTTGACAATAAACCTGCATGTATACCAGTAATGCCATGCAATGAAGACTTTCATGGTTTCCTAAGAGCAACTTCAAATTTCCTCCCAAAATAAATATTCAGCCATGCCACAAATTCCTCTAATAATCTTCAGAGAACATTTTGTATCTCTCTGGTTTCCAAATTTTGACAAGTGATGTTTTGCAACATTAACACATTAGTTCGTGCTGCTCTGGCCCTGTGACCACGATAAAGCCTCACATATTTTATAGTATCACTAAGCTCAGTGATAAAAGCAAACTCAGAACTGCAGGATATTTGATGAGGTATTGACCAGTCTACAGCACAAGCCCTGAAGAAACACTGTCATTAACACCCTGGCTGCATTCTCCCTCCTAGTGCCCTGTCTTGGATTGACATTGTTATCACATTATCCCACAGATTTCTCATGGAAATGGGTAAATGGGTAAACAGGAGGCCGTACCAGAAGGGGCTCATCAGGGGCACTGGTAGAGAGTTCAGCAGATGATGTGCGGGTGGTGCTGAGCCCAGTGAGGGAAACATTTGAGAGCCTTCTCCGCCTCACACCACTGCAATTGTTGGGTATTTTAAATGCACATCTCTTATGGTAATTCAGACCACATCCTGGAAAGGGAAAACAAAAAATTATTTTTGTTGTATCATAAATTAAAAAGGAATTCCAATATTAGTGAAAAGTAGAGATTTTTAAAAATAGTGTAGCTTCCATTTTCCTTGAGGGTATGTGGAAATTCCAGTTTTCTTTTGAATATTCTCTGATTATTTTTCCAATTTGTTAATGGGTTTTGAATTCTGATCTTATTTCACAAGCTCAGCAACTATGCTAGTTATCATTTTTAAAAATGTGCTGTTAGATAACAGACGTAGGCTTTAAGGGATATAGAAATCCCTCAAAATAGATGATCTCAAAATAGATTATCTGAGCCATTTTTAGCTGCCACAAACTCAAATGTGAGTGGACACATAAGGGAATATTAATCACAGCTCATCACAACTTTTAGATAACACTGATTTTAATCGGGGCCTCATAACTTGCCTATCCACATGGCGATGAGCAAATTCCTTTGCCTCAGTTTTCTGTCTCTAAAACAGAGGTAATAACTACCTTGTAGAATTACTAAGAAGATATATAAAGTACCTCACATGCTGGTTTCCACACAGTAGGTGATAAATAATTGGAAACAGATTTCTCACTTAGGCAAGTATCAGTTTCCTTACAATATTTTTACCATTCACATTTCCCACATAGCTGGAGTCCATTACTTAGAATCTCTCCATGTGTCACACAGCAGTCCAGACAGGCAAATTTTCATAAAACTATATTTTAGGCAGACTTTCTTCTAAATCATAGCTTCCCTTCCCATAGACAAAAATTCAAAAATTGCAGTAGCTTATTTATAAGCTATATAATAAATGCTGAGTTATATTGGTCAATGTTCAAGGATCTCTATCCCTGACCTCCCAATTCAAAGAGAATAGAGTACAATTGAGTAAGTTTTGAAGATTATATCATGGTGTCATAGCATCTTGAATTGTGCAGTTCAAAGTGTTTTTTCCACAGAATGATAAAACTGTGTTATTAGTGCAGAAATGCAGGTACAAGTTCCAGTTCACCACTCAACAGCTGAGTGTCCTTGGATGGTTTGATTAATTTCCTGAATCTCTGCTCATTTGAACAAATATGTATTCAATGTCTACTATTACAATTTCTGGCTTACTTACTAGGCAAATTTTATTTTAAGTCTGCTGCTAACATATTGAGTGTCATATAGGGGAGAAACATATCCACATGATAAAGGAGAAAATATGTGAGAATAAGGGTTCCCAGGTCAGACTGACTTTGTTCACGACAGGAAATGTAAAGAAAGGAACAGAGAGAATCCATGTACCCCTTAAATGCCTGGAAGACACTTCCGAGGGAGATACTACCACACTACTGTAGAGGGCAGATAGCTCCAGCATGAATTATTTTTAATTTTTTAAATTTTAATAGCTTTAGGGGTACAAGTGGTTTTCGGTACATGAGTGAATTATATAGTGGTAAAGTCTGAGGTTTTAGTGTAGCTGTCACCCAAATAATGTACGTTCATGGTAGTGAATAGGTAGTTTTTCATCCCTTAGCCTCCTCTGAACCTTTTGCTTCTGATTCTCCAATGTCTATTACACCACTCTGTTCCCCTCTGTACCCACAGCTTAGCTTCCACTTATAAATGAGAACATGTAGTATTTGGTATTTTGTTCCTGAGTTACTTCAGTTAGGATACTGGCTTCCAGTTCCATCCAAACTGCTGCAAAAGACATTATTTTGTTCTTTGTCATGGCTGAGTAGTATTTTCATTTATACATATATGTATATAATGCATATTGTGAATTATATTCATAGTTGCAATGATAGGGAATCAGCCTAAGTGCACATCAACCAATGAATAAAGCGAATGTGGTGTGTGTACACACATGCACACACACACCAGTGTATATACATGTATGTATATGTGTGTAGGTATAAGTGTATATATGCATAGAAGCATATACATACATATATGCATAGATCTATGTATATATACACACATACATACACAGGTCTATATATGTACATAAACATGAAAAAAACATTTTCTCAACCAATGAGTGGATAAAGAAAATGTGTATATATGTACATATGTATGTATATATGTACCAAATTTTCCTTATCCACTCATTGGTTGATGGGCACTTAGGTTTTACATATCTTTGCAATTGTGAATTCTGCTGCAATAAACATAGAACAGCACACGTTTAACTTGCATGGGAAGAAAACTTACCTTCACATTTAAGACCTTGACGTACCAGCCCCCACAGCATTTCTCCACAGTGATCACAGAAAGCTGGAGCTCTGTATGAATGAACAAAGAGAGCATGGGGACGAATCTGAAAGTCTTCAAAGGTGGCAGAAGCTGTAAAAATAGTGATATTGAAAAGTAAGTTGAATGGGTACTCTGATCTGTAAACAAAAAAAAGTATGCAAAATAACAAATATGCCAGTGTGGATATAACTCTCATCAAAGTTAGGGAAGATAAGATGCAACACAGCTTGAACTTTCGGCCATTAGACATTCTTCTCAGCCATAGTTTTACAGTTGGTGGCAAACAACCCTCTCTCTTCTCCTCTTCCTGCCTGGCAAAATTTCGGACCACTTTAAAAAAAAAAAAAAAAAAAAAAAAAAACAGCAGAAAGCATGAATGAAAGGATAAGTAAACCTGATTAAAAAAATACCTGATGATACTTTAAAATACTTTAATTTTTCTCTTACTTAAATGAGCCAGAAAGGTATTCAAAAATATTAATGAAAAGAAAAATTGATGAATTCAGACAGATCTGAAAAATAGTATAATTGAGCATGACAATGAAGAGGTGCAATACGGGACACAGTTGAAAGACAGATAAGAAATATAAGTGGCTTTCTAATAGAGTGATAGAGCTGTTTGAACTCTTGGGCCATCTGTAATAACTAAGCATTTAAATCATGACTGAGCAACAACCAAGCAGCCACTTCACCAACATGCCAAAGAGAGGGATTTAATACATACGCTGGTGAGTTGCAGTCCATTCTGAGAATTATACCTTAGTCAATTATATTCATGCTGTAGGATACTTTTTGGTGTTGCCTACTGTTGCTTATTCTATATGGTCCTCATGCAGAATATTAAAATCCATTTTTATTACACTTTTTCATATATTTGTATTATATTATAAAAGTGGTTTGTGCCTTTTTTCTTGCTGCTCAAATCAAGTAATAGAAAGGTACAGACAATTGAAATGGAAATATTAGCTTTTTTCTCAAAGTTCTAATGGAAAGTGGTGGATCTTTCCAGACCTATTTGTACACAGTAAGCCGAGGTTGAGGCTGCACAGTATAGCACAGAGAGTGCTGCCCTGGCCATCACAAGACCTGGGGGAAGCTTGGCTTTCATTGCAGTGACGTCTCAATAAGCACAAGCCTCAGTTTCTCATACCTAAAAAGAGGCTGTCTGATGACGACTTCTCCAATCCCTTAAAATTTAAACTTCCATTAATGTCAGAACAGAACCATATGAACTTAATTTTGTAAGATTTTATTCTAAGAGAAATTGGGGAAAACTGAGGCCTTAAATATGTTCCTTCTATTCTGCCTTCCTTTTCTGTCCTCCTCAATCCAAGTACGTTTAGAAAATTGCATATCACATTTCCTGCTTCAAGATTCACAATATAATGGTCAAATGCTTACTCTTAAGTAGATAAGAAAAATAGTATGGTTTGGGTACCAATCATCTACTTTGGTGAATTGGTCAAAATATGTCCAATTGGGGGAATGCTAAATTCTCTTTAAAATTGGTCTCTCATACTCATGTACAAAATTAATTTTTTAAATATCAAAGAAAATAATTAAAGATAAAACTTATGCCAATCCTTAACTTCTAGCTTCTCCCCTCTGCCCCTAAATCACCCCTCCAGACCAAACAATTATGACAATACTATGACAACTATTAGTTGAATAATTACTGTAGTTTTCAAAATAAGCAACATTAGAATTTGACAGTACAAATACCAAGCTGGATTCAGACATTTCCATAATAAATTAAAAAGAATATAAATAATTAAACTAAAGATTTTCAGTGACACTCTCCCAATTTATGCCAGGTAAATTTGTTTTTTGTTTTTTTCATTTTTTGAAGGGGATTAACATTCATAAGCAGTTAGCACCCTTGACTTATGTTTAAATGCCATATTTCTAAAGTTCAATTTTAATATTCTCTTGTTAATTTTAGAATAATTAAATACATTTTTAAAATAAAGCTACCAAGTGTGGTGAGGTTTTACATCCATTTGAAATCAAAGCACAACATCCATTCATTATGAATTTACCTGTTCTGCACCCTAGGGGAAATTAGCATTAGTTGAGTGTATGCATGCCATCTCGCCTAATCACAAAATTGCACTTCAGAGATAATCACTTAGCACAGGAAAACAAAGTGAATGCTGTAATTCCATTTCATTTAAGTTTAGGAATCAAAATGGACAGATAAGAATAGGAATATTAAAGCATCTAGAGATTCCAAGAAAGGAACAATGTGCTATCTGTCAGTCTGTCATAATCAATCGGCCAACCTAAATTAAAACCGTATGACAGGGTAACAAACTCAACAAAATAGGCCCTTATACTGGTATTTGTGTTGCTTTGATTTGCTCTATTCACAGCCTATTGTTATACTCCAGCGTGCAAGAGAAGAGAAAATGACATGCTTTTCTTAGTCATTGAGCATTTGAAACAGGTAACTGAGCCAAAAACCCTAAGATAATCATTTCTTTTATGGTTCATTATAAATTGTTGCACAAATGGAGTAAACTGTTTGGTTAGCAGTAAAGAAGAAACAAGGCTTCTGAAGCAAAATAATCTCTGGAGGTCAAAATTATTTGCATAATAAAATAAAGTAATGTCAGATACTCCAAGAGTTTCAGTACTTTTTTAAAAAATGGGTAATTTTGGCAATGGGAGAAGCATTAACTCTTCCTGGCTATGACAAGCTGAGGCTGATGTAATGAAAGGAAATGCTTAATCCATGGCAAGCATCATCTCATTTTATTTATGACAAGCAATCTATAAGGTAGTTATTATTGCTACCCCCATTTTGCAGATGAGAAAACTGATACTCAGAAATTAAGGAGCTACACTAGGTAATGCAGAATCTGAACTCAGGCAGTCCTGATACCAGAACCATACAAACTCTCTCAGCCACTATTACTCAACTTAAATTTCTTTGACTATTTAAACAATATGGACTATATGCTGCACCTTTATTTTATGTATCACTGAAAAATATTTTTTAAAACAGTGCAATTAAATACACATACACATAAACCCTTGTAACATGCATCATTATCTTATAACAAATGTTGGGAAAATGAGAAGCCATGAAATATAGTATAGAAAAAATTAATGCAGTTCTCAAGGTCAAAAATTCTTTTAGTGTGCTTTTTGCATAAACTCCATGTTTAGAAATCCTCCTTTCCAAACAAATCAAATTGAGGAAGAGTAATTGGTGTCTCAACTTTTACAAAAGTCAATGGTAATGATGCATAGCTAAAAGACAACTGGAGCTTTGTGTCCACATGATAACCATTGAATTCACACACTGAATTGATTAGTTTGTCCCAAAGCAAAACATTTTGAAGTTTCTGAAAGTTGTGAAGCTTTCTTAGATGAAAATTTCTTCTTTCTTTTGTGTCTAGAATATTGAAAATAGTTTCTGGATATCACTCTTACACAAATTCACATGCTCGTCATTTTTAAGGTATTCTGTCGATTAAAAAAAAAAAAAAAAAAAGCAATATTGGCCAGGTGTAGTGGCTCATGCCTGTAATCTCAACACCTTGGGAGGCCAAGGCAGGCAGATCACCTGAGGTCAGGAGTTTGAGATCAGCCTGGCCAACATGGTGAAATTTCATCTCTACTAAAAATACAAAATTAGCAGGGCATGGTGGCATGCACCTGTAATCCCAGCTACTCGGGAGGGTGAGGCAGAAGAATTGCTTGAAACTGGGAGGTGGATGCTGCAATGAACCGAGATCACACCACTGCACTCCAGCCGGGGCAACAGAATGAGAATCTCTCAAAAAACAAAAAACAAAACCAAAAACCAGTATCTTCTTTAAACTTCCTATCATTTACCCATAAACACACATCATTGGTGGAATGACCACTATTCACAATCAGTTTATCTCATTTGTGAATATCTCAAATTTTTAGAAAGTTCCTGTTATTGAGGCCCCAGTACACTTCTATAACTTTTACTTAGTGGTCACAGTGCTAAAAGCAAGCCTTTAAAAATAAGGCATTTTTATGCATTTAAGTGAGCTCATGTAAGTAAAGCAGTCCTAATAATTTCAAGCTAGCATAGTTTATATGTTATTAATACATCTAGAACCTACTTGGTAATATAGTATATGTTGAAAATAGAAAAATGACTAAGGAACATTATCTGCGGTTGAGAGTTCCAAGTCAAAATGAAGATGACAGACCCATATATATTTATAATACCAAATGCAGGGATGGAACACAAAACAAAGGGTAGCTAAGTCTGCCTAGGTCTGTCAGGGAAAGCTACATCCAACAGAGAAATTGTAGAGAATCCTGAAGGTTGAAGAATATTTTGAAAAGCAGAGAACACAATAAAAGAGGGAACATTTTCATATAGTCTAATTTTTATTATAAATAATTTATAGAATTGTCTATATATTTCTTTACAATTATTGTGGGTTCTTGACACTTCATCATCTTTGGCGTACTGTCAGGGTAATCAGCAAGAATGACTATAAATTGTCCATGAGGCGGGGAACTGAGAGATGACAACAGATCAATTCCACACCGTTGTGGCCCAGGTGTGTGAGAGTGCTTGTAAAATTAAGCTTGCATATGTCCATGCTCTCCCCCAACCACCCTAAACACATATACCTGTGCCCCGAGGCTGGTCATTATTTCCCGCTTCTCTATTGGCCCCAGTCTCTCCAAGTCAGTTTTACATCAGATTCTCCCTTCATGCAACTATTGTTCAAATTAATCTCACATTTCACATTTTTGTTATACCTGGAAACATCTAGAGTTGCAAGGGCCCACAGCTCTCCAACAAGAACATTCAATAAATTCTTGTAGAGGGACTTGCAATAACATCTTTCAGATGGGTGAAGATATGAAGGGAATCTACATTTTTGGCTTAACATCTGACCAGAAAATTGTTACTGAGGTGCAATGATGGGAATTTGGGAGGCTGTGAATATATCATCTCAGAGATCATAATAGCCAAGAGAAAAAAACATAAAGTGTATTTAGATATCTTTACCAGGCAGCTCAGAAGTTTATGGAAGGTATTTCATAAGTTTGTTGTCAGAGATTCAAAAAAACATGGCTACAAGAGAAAT